AGGTTGAATGCTACACCTTGTCATTCACTTCACCTTAGACTGAAGGAAACTGCTGTCTCACCATTCTATTGCTAACTCCCAGCTTTTTAAAAAGCCCTGTATAAATGTATTAAAGTGTGACATCTGCTCTTGTGTCTACTTTTGGAAAAGCTTTTTCGCATTTTGGGTTCCCCCGCTTCCGTTGCCTTTTCTTACTGTGTTGTCTTTCCAGCAGTTAAAGAATATTATCCATGAAGGCTTGTGCATGAAACACACCCCAGAGTGAGATTTTCTTTAATCTTGTGGCAGTAATGATCTTGCAGGTATGATGAGTAAACAAGCATTTCCCAACCAAAGTAAGTTTTTTCTTATGATACATCAGCTGTATCACTGAGAGACCATTTGTGGGTTTGTTTGTAGACTTTTTCTAGATGTGTGATTATGCAGCCCTATGGTACAGGAGAGAAAGTGAAAGGGAGGCTATTACACCTTAAAGAACTTGTTGAGAAGGAAGTGTGTAGAAGGTGCAATCGGAATAAGTTCAGCAATTTCAGGGGTTTATATGAGTGGGTATGGGAGAACTGGGTTGAAGGTGGGGTGACTTCTTTCAAAATACTGTCGTGATCTTTGTGCATAATTAGCAGTGTTTTGGGTAAAGGTACAGATGGTGAGGGTAAACTAATTAACTGTGGCAGTGTCTTTGGGCTGAATGCTGACTCTCTTTCCTTGCAAGGGCTTCAGGCAGACTTCAATGCCATCCTGGCGTGAAATATGATTGTACAGCCTGGTCACATCCATGATGACCAGAATGAGCTTTGCATAGTTAGTTTTGATAGTACTGTAGTGAGATCTTCTTCAGAATCCTTTGACTGTATAAATTTGCCCTGGCTGTCATGGGTGTTTCACTTCTGGTCACAATCCATGTCAGTCATAGTGTGGAATAGAAAAATCAGTATTCTTAGTTCAGGATGTATCTGCTGTGAAACCCAGTTAAGTCTTTTGCTGTTGCTTTCCATTCAGTGTCTAGGTAAAGTAACAGTATCATAGCTGTCGCTTAAAATAACAATCTTTACATTCAGGCATGTTAGAGGTATTTTAGGAACCAAATGTAAAGACTCTAATGTTATTATTTTGTATATGTACATCACAGGGGGTCTGTGCATGCCGCTGAAATTAGGCATGGTAATGATGCAGAATTAACTGTGAGTCTTTCTGACAGCAATAGATGACAGCATTCTGTAACACACAGAAAAAGCTACATGTTTTTGTGGAGTGAAATTTCAACAACTGTTCCCTTTTAAAAAATAATCTACTTCCTGCCCTTTATATACTTAGTTGTAAAGGGATCTGTTTTAAATGCCTAGGCTGGAAACAGAGGACTATGTTGGTATATTTAACTGACCAAATTTAAGGAGACATTCAACCGTTTGTATAAGCAAGGCTTATTTTGAGATTTTTTTGTGATCTTATATGTATTTTGTCATGTTGGTGGAAATTGGAGCCTGGTAGGATGACACTACATTTTTTTCTCCTAATGAATCCTATGAAAGGTAGATTTTTCTAACCCAATAAAGAATGATCACAGACAGATGCTAATATACAGTTCAGCAGCACAAATATTGATTAGAAATTTTTGCTTGCTTTTCTTACTCCACTCGGTATTTTGGGCAGATGGATGCTGGCTGTTGATTGGCAGGTTTGAGATCAGAGCAGCAGGGTGAGGCAGGTGTGCTGGCTGAGCAGTGTGGGGACTCCTGTGTCAGACTTGGTTCTTTTAGTGCAGGCTGTTTGCTGTATGAAAGATCCTGCATTTGCTGAGAGCTGTCCAAAAAGGAGATGGGGAGCATAGAATGGGTTGCATAGCAACTGGGGATTCCTCAGGACTTGTCTCAAAATGTGAGTTTCAAATAAAGAAAGTAATGTATTAATTTTAAAATAATGTCTTGGACTAATGAGGTCTGTAAGGTCCTATTTTATGGGTTACTTACTGTTGAGGTAAGTAACCCATAACATATTATATTTGGGTTTATTTCTACTGTCTTGGTGCTTGTATTTGGCTGTTTATGATACAGCTTTTCAAAGGTGATTGTACTCACTTTCTCATGCAGGCACTTGCATTAATGGCCTTCTGTGAAATAGAATCTCCATTAGGTCTGCAAGGTAACACAATTGTGTGGATGTGCCATGAAGCATTAAAAACTGCAGACTCCTGGATTATGTCATTAGCTATCCTTTTTAGAAAAAAAAAAAAAAAAAAGGAGTGTGCTTAATGTCAGGGGACAAAGAGAAAGCATTTCTTGAAGGACACACCTGGGGCTTGGTGTGTCCCCAGGCTGCCTCTGTGTAGGTGTAAAACTGAGAACAGGTTACAGCAGGGTGTTTTGTGGTGCCTGTTACTTTCTCTCTTTACAGTAGCTGCAGAGATCCCGATGGGAATGACTGTCTGCCCCCTCTAGTGTGTTAACCCTGTTTGTTAACTGAGTCTAGCTGCACTGGCTTGTTGCATCTTTTGGGGTATATTGCAGCAATATGTTTGGAACATGAGAGACTCTTGAGATGTTTGGAAAACTTTCTTGGAATGGAGGGTGGTAAAATGCTGGAAGAACCAGAGAGGCTATTAAATCTGTCTTTGGAGGTGTTCAAGACTCAGCTGGATGGTGCCCTGAGTAGTCTGATCTAATTATCTTGCTTTTAGCTGAAGGTTAGAGTATGTGACTTCTGAAAGTCCTTTCTTAGGTTACTCTCATTCTGTGGTATTTTTAGCTTTTATTCCTCAAAGTTCCACCAGAATGAAAAGTAGCCCTCCCTTTTGGGTGTTTGTGTATTGTAGTTTGGTTGTAGTTTCACATGCTGAGCATTTCTCTTAGAGATCTGAAGAGTTTGACACATAATACTGTCTTATTGCTACCACTACTCCATATCAAATTATCTGGTCCATTTCTTTTAACACCTGTGTAACACCATAAAAGCTGAAATGTCACCAAAGAGTTGTATAGTGGAAAACAGCATAAGAAAGGGTGAATCCATCTAAATTTCTGTTCTATAAATGTATTTTAAATGTCTCCTAAATCAGAACTGTCTCTGATTTAATTAGCTTGGCATTCCATAAGTCAGTTTTACTCTTGCTTGAATAGCTAGACGCAGCTTGAGAGGGATGAAGTGGAATTCTTCTGGAAAGTTGCCCTGTTCAGAGGGAGGTGTGGTAAAATTACTGTTCCCAAAGTAGCCAGAGTATTAGTGAAAAATGTGCTGGATGGAAAGAGAAGAAGAAATGTCCCAGTTTCCACTAGCTGTATGCAAAACTATCACACTTTAGTACATTAGATGATGAGACAAGAGAGGGTGATATGGAGGATGGCACCTGGAATTTATTCATTCATTCATTCAAAATCCCTTGGAATTTTGGCTGGGACCCCTTTACAGGGTGTGACTGGTGAGCCATGGGCATGTGCGTTCATGTCTGGCTCCTCTGGTCTTCCCCCTCACCCTTGGACTTGAAAGATATTTACTGGAATAGTTAGACTTCTGGAGAGTCAAAACTAAGCTTAAGGAAGAGAAGGAAATACATTGCACAAGGTATGGCTGAAGTAGAATGAAGGGCAGGGCGAACTGGGTGATTTTGAGTTACAGGGAGAAAAGGTAGGCAAATGTGCTAAAGGGAAGAAGAGGCAGTAATCTCAACAGGGAATTAAGTTGAGGCAAATGAGATGGACAGGCATATTTAAGGTCTTCAAGAATCTATCTACAAAAAAGACTGTTTTAGATGTCATGTTACAGTTCAATAGCACATGCCATAAGGAGTTTAGGGTGTTCCTCAATTTTCAGCTGGCTTGGCAACCAGCTGTTACCGCTCCAGGTCTCTAGGTCTAGTGATTTGGCTATTGCATGGGAACCATGTATATATTCATGTTTGTGGAGGTGGGGTTGTATATATACCTACAAATTTAATTTTTGCATTGTTTTCTGAACTATTTAATTTACTGGAAAACAAGTACAGCTGGAAATAGCAGATGTCATTGCAGAGGCAAATGGCTGTTACGACTTCAGATGGACACTGTTGAAAGTGTTTAAATGATCTAAAAATAACGTCATGTAGCATAAGAGACGTTATATGTGAGCTGATACTTCTTCATGAATCATTTCCTGCTGAAAGTGCTATACAAAGCTAAGTGCTAGAGGGGGTGTATGTTGATTATATATAAATTAAGAGCAGCCATGCTTTTTTCTATGGTTTAGGTGCCTGTGCTGGTTCAGAGTACAAATGTGAGTGGTGATCAGTATTCTGCCTTTAAACAATGCTCAGATTTAGATACTGGCTATTGGAAATTGTAATAATCTTCTGGGACTGTACTCTGTGATAAATTTTCCCTTGAGGCTCTGGCTGTGAGAATATGTGGCCTACTTCAAAAACTCCTTGAACAGAGGAACTAGTTGCTACTCTGAATTGTGTTTTAAAATGTAATATTTTAGCGATTATTTAAATGAAAAAAACAACCAAAATGAAACACACCACTAGATGGATACATGTCTCACAAAGGCAGTTTATGTGCAGCTACATAAGAAATTACTTTAGATATCAGTGTTGGCGATTTCATTGCTGGCTTTATCACCTTGGTCATGTGGTTTATGTACAGTAGAAAAGGACTGTATCTCAGTGGCCAAATGTTCAACTGGTTTCTGTCCTAAAATTAATTAATTGCTTTGTGTTTGAAAGCTTGCGATGCAAAATTCTGCTGTGAATCGAGAATCAGTTCTAGGATAGGAATCATATGATAAATATCTTGTTAAAGGGTACAAGAAAAGTTTTAAATAGTAAAAATACACATGTTGGAATTTTGGGTAAGCTTTCATCTAGCAAAAGGATTTTACTTAACAAAGAAACAACCCTCTAAGACACATGCACATTCTGGCTCAAGTTTTATCTATGAAACATAGGATCCAGTTTTCATTTTGACAGGTATTTTGTTGCTGATTTTTATATTGTATCTCCAGTGACAGACTTCTGGCTTTCTCTTTCGTAGGCTCGGATTATTCCTCCGTGGGATGGTTACCTGGTACTGAATCCCTGTGGCAGTCCTCAGCGATTTCATCAAGCCATCAAAACAATCCTGTGAGAAGACACAGCATAGCTTCTGACAGCGGGGACACTGGGATTGGTACCTCCTGTTCTGACAGCGTGGAAGGTGAGTTAACACTGCTAAGTTTTGTATGTTTCTGAGAGAGAAACAATCCAAAACGTTTTAAAGATATTTTTCACAAGCTAATCATACTTTTCCAAAGCTGTTGAGCACATGCAGTTTTTTCCTTGCTGGAGCCAAGTAATTGTTTTGGTAAGGGTTGATTAATTTAGTTCTGCATGAGTTGTGTGCATTAACTTGCGTCTCTGCCACAAAGAGGGTGCTTGTGTTACATGTTTTGATAATTGCAGTTGCAAGAAGTGCCAGATTTCTCAGAGGAATAATGTCCTGTACTACAGCACTTGATAAACAAGTGGGGGAAAAGCAGAAACTTTTGAGGGAGTTGATGAAAGGACAGTGCTTTCTGGTATTCATTGTGTGTCACACAGTGTGTGTCAGCAAAGGAGGTTTGCTCATCTTGAGGAAAGCGTGTTGTCTCTTCTCATCTCCTCTTCTGGTGGGAAGGAATTCACATTTTATTGCATGGCATTTGACACGTAGTTAAGGATCTTTGAGAAGAATCAACAGTGTCTAAAGATTGTCAGAACTTAGTTTGGATTAAATCATGATTAGTCAAAGGTGATCTTACCAGGGAGGGGTATAGCCTCTGCAGTGGCAGTGTTTCCATAACATTGTCACCCTCCCTATGCAACCTGTCACTGGAATTAAGCCGGAATGAGAGAGATGTAGTGAGACTTGAGGTTTCCTTCTTGCATTGATTTATTTCCCAGTAAGATTTTCGAGACAGATAATGAATGACAGCAGGACTCAGCAGGACTGTGATATTATTTTCTCCAGCAGCTTTCTATGCCTGATAAATATTGCAAAAGGGGTAGCTGGAATGAGGAAGAACAGGAAGAGTTAGTTGAAATGAAGTAAGGAATGCTGAATCGGTGTAAGACAGAAGGCTCTGTGGAGGGCTGAGCATTCCTGAGGAGAGGTCCAAATGCCTCAGTGAAGTCTGTCAGGCCTCTTTTGCACAGGAGAAAATCCTTTCCACCCTCTTTCTGTTGCATCTGTCAGCTCATAAGTTGTTTTCTGCTTCTTTTCATTTGTAAACAGTTGTTGGCTTTGGCAAAATAAAAGTTTTGCTCAGATATTCAAATTCTTGGGTGTAAAACTGAAATAGTAAATGGTTAGTCTTGCAGAAGTTTTTTGGTATTTTTTTTTTTCCCAGAGACGTAGCGGGGATGAAGTACTCTCATGGTGTGTATTTATATATAGCTTTAATCACTCCCAGCCAAATGCTGCACAATAGTATTTTAAGATGCAGCATTTGAATTAAAACCATGCCTTCCCCTCCCCCCTTTGGAGGGCTTCCCCATTTGAGGGGTGGGATGAAGGAGAGGAAATGAAACAGCAGCTCCTCATCAGATGGTCTGTTCTCCTCTGTAGGCAAGAGAATAATCTGTTCAGGGCTGGGTGGGGGAGACTAAAATAAAGAGGGGAAAGGTTGCAACAAGAGATAGTTCATGATGTTTGTCTTTGGCAGTGCTTTACAATGGTCAGTTCTACTGCATCCTTAATGTTACACATTTCCCACCAACTTGTTTGAAAAAAACTTTTAAGTAGCAGAGAAGAAAGTGTTAAAGAAGAAAGGAGGGAAACCTAATGGTAAAATGAAGATTAATGGAGGAGTCATATGACAGGCCTGGCAATTGATTGTGTATGTATATTTTTAGTGGAAGGGGTTGATGCCTATGATACCTAGTTGTCTGCATCTCTCAAGCTGCCCCCTGCACACATCCACAAAAAGCAAAGAGTATCATTGTCATCTGTGGAACTGTCAGGCCAGACTGGTAATTGCAGTCTTGATGCTGGCCATCTGCTCTCGTTGTGGTGCTTGGGAAGAAGCTCTTGGGGATTTTTCAGAGGGGAATTTTTTTCACAAGTTGGCAGATTATTACAGTTTTTAACAATGCTCAGATAATGAATTGTGGCTTTGCTATTTATTTTCTGCTACACCCACTAAAAATAAGAAACTTAATTAGAGAATTAACATTAACATCAACATCTCCTTTAATTCTGAAGGCTGCACCTGAGTTTGTTTGTACAGATATATAGTTGATAATAAATACACTTTTGCAGGGAATGGACTGCAGGTGCATTTAAAATATATTTTTAATAGGATTTTTCATAACATCTTACATGTTCTTTCAAATTAATCTTCTTATTCGTATTTATTTCAGGAACATTCATGCTCTTTGAAAATGCAGGGTTTAAAAAAAAGACAAGTACCTCTTGTGTTTGGCTCAAACCTGTGTGATTTGGAGGGGAGACGGGTTTTGACAAAGGCAGGAGAAAGAAACCTCTAATGTTAAAATGTATTCAGTTGATTGTATATAATGTTGTGCATAGGTAGGAAAATTAGGAAATTAAATAGGCAATGGAGTTGAAATTTCATGATGTTGATGTGCACTGTGGGAGCTGAGGACAGAAATTTATAAACCATAAATATGAGGATGTTGTGGTTTGGGTAGATCTGACACTTTAAATTGAGAGTGCTGTAAATTTAAAGACAAAAAGGCTTTTTATATCTGTTTAAACTACAGTTATATCTGTTAAAACTACAGTTGATGTGTTTGGGGTTTTTTATGTTTCCTGTCAGTTTGTGTCCTGTTCTGGATTCACATGAGCTTTTGCACTTCATTTTTAACAACTGTTGTTAAAATACCTGTGTATAACCATTCTTTCAGTAGCACTTACAGAAGAAATATGAAGTTTATATCTGAAGTGTTTTTGAGGCTTTTTTTGTTTGGTTTACCTAATTAGAGAATCAGGGACTTGGCAGAGATTAAATGGTCTCTAAACCTCAGCAGAACTCTTGTGCACATTCTGAGTTTAGCCTTTTAGAACAGGACTGACAAGAACTACATATTAACGTAAGATACAGGGCCCATGATTCTTGCAGACCAGAACATTTTCCTTCATCAGATAAGATTGTTGTTCTGTGGAAAGTCCCCAGATCTTTCTCGCTTATTGTTACATGCAGTTAATGTAATTTAATATTTCTGGTTGCAAACTAATAGTGTGAAAATTCATAGAACGTTGCTTTCCTGGAAGAAAGAGATTGGATGCGGAGAGTCAGAGTTACTATGTTTTTAGGAGTTGATGTTCTGCCAGTTTAATAAACCCCCTTTTCTAATAACCCTCCAACAACTTCTCTGGAATTCTTAGCTGATAGAATAGGAACTTGTTTTGATGTTATGAGATCCAGAAGTCTATCATTGTCTGTCATTTTTAAGGGAATATATTATCTTTTTAAGGATTTAAAAAATCCTAATTACTTCAATTGAATTGTAGCACTTCTTTATATGCCAAGGATCATGGAAAACAAGAATCAATATTACTTAGTTTTCCTCTTTCAAGCACTCTTTCTTCTGGCAGGTCCCATGTATGGTATTCTAGTGCTTTCTTTTTTCTTTTTTTTTCTTTTTTTTCATTAGGGAGAAAAAGGAAAGTTAATAAATATAGTGAAAGACAGAAGTGAATTTCAGGAGGCAAAATTTAATTATTAAGTATCTTGAGGGGGGTTTTCTTCTGCTGCTAAAGATAACAGGATTGACAATGCATAGGTGAAATATGTAGATTGTGCTATCAGTTTGTTATCACAAAAGTGCAATAACACAAGGATCCTAGATCTTGATAGCTGGCCGTGCTCACTCTCTGCTGTGTTCTGTGATTTTAGAAGATGATGGATTTTCAGAAAAGTTCCTGATTTTAACTGAGTTGAGGTTAATCTCTATGCCCTTGGATCCTGGCAAGTACTGGCATATGTTTGGTGAAGTAGCTTGATTATTTGGAGGGTAGAAAATAATTGTGTTTGAGGCATTTTTCCTTGTTTCCTTCCTTTCTGCTTGCCAAGTCTCACGTTATGAAGCAGTGTCCAGCCCTCTGTGAGTCACAGTTATTGTGTTACTTGGATATTATCTACCCTGACCATCAGAAATGTGCACTGCACTTAAGCCTGTATTGGTCTCTAGTCCTTGTAAGTGGTATTGCCATGCTTGCTAGAATAAAGTGTCTGTGTAGCTGATGAGAATATAGAGATTAATGCTCAGAGTTTGGCTGTTTATTTTCTTGGGAGGGTTCAGGATTAAAAAAAAAAATAAAGGTTATTTGAGATTCTAGTAGCCTATTCCCAGGATTTAACAAATAGGAAAAAATTATGCTAATAATTTTCCTCTAAAATAAGATGGAGAAATGACTTCATGTAACAGTGACATGCTCCATGTGAACTTGTGTACTCTGAATTTGAAACTGGCTTGAACTAAACTAAAGGCACCTACTAGTTTCATACATGAATGTTCTGCAGAGAGAAATAGCTGCTGATTTAACTTCATATTTTGCCTTCTTTTGTGACAGTTTCTCCATAGGAACAAGCTCACACAGTATGCTCAGTTTTCCTCACATCAAAAATACCAGCAGAACCTTTCTCCGGCTAGTGGGAAGTGTTCTGCACAGTGAACTTGGTGCATTTTGCCTTCAGCTAACATCAGTAGTTGTTTCTTAGAAAAATAATTTCTGTTTTTCTGATTGGAAATAACCCGGTGAGAATAAGTTCTGCTTACTTAGAATTTAGTGGCATTCTTGGTTACTGTGCAAAAAGTTATTTCTGGCATATGATGTATTTTGGAGCTATGTCACTGAGTTGTACCAGAATGTTTTAATGGTGAGATGGGGAGAGGATCAGAAGGGAAAAAAAAACAAGGGGAAAAACTCCCAAACTTCAGGTTTGAGATAAAGACAGTTTAATAATGAATGAAAAAGTGAGTGAACATTGTGATGTAAATGCACCGCGAGGAGACCGATGCCCAGCCAGTCTCTGAGCAACAAATACTTTGGAAGAAACCTGCCCCTTAGTTACATTGCTGAGCATGACATTATATGGTATGGAATCTGTTTGGTATTTCAGGTCAGCTGTCCCAGCTGTGTCCTCTCCCAGCCTCTTGTGCACCCCTCACTGGGGTGGCAGAGGCCGTGGTGCCGTGTAAGTGCTTCTCAGC